CAACTACAAAGAAATACTACTACCCATTCTAACACAATTTCTGAGGAAGGTGCACTTAGCTTCCTACAGAAATTCCTATGGAATAATTACAGCTTAAGGTCATTGCACATTATTATATAGCAACAAACTGAAAACTGCCCTCAATGAATAACTGTTAATGTGCTGTAGCTAATACTGTGTGATACCTGATGTGTTCCTTACAATCACATTTTATATCATTTTTATGTACAGCTAAAAAAGCACCAGATGAAACAGCCCTTTAAAACTTATTAGATCTTGCTTTTCAGGAGATCATTGCCATTTACCCAAGCATTAATATGCAATGATAACAGAAGAGGGAGGGGGGGCGGAGAAAGGGAGAGAGAGACAGGAAGAGAGCTAGTATAATTATCAACTCCAAATTATAATTTGACCTGAAGTCAATTTATAGAGAATGTGAAGATATAGGAATGATCTATACTCTATTTGGATATCCTGGATATCACTACAGGAATAACAGTAATGTCTTGTCATGACTTCTTCCTTATGTAGATATCAATGCATATTTTAAAAGGTAGACTTTTCACATTAGAAATTCTTGATTAACAGTAATCAAGAAAGAAGGCTTGAGGGACTGGCAGATGATTTGTCTTCACAATTGCAATACTAAATTTTGAAGATGATCTAGATTATTTGTATTTATCCTCAATCTCTTTTGACAGCATTTAGAAGATCAGAAGAAATTACTGTTTTAGAGAGAATAAATATCAGAGCAGGGAGCCCAGTGCTATCTAATAAGGTTAAAAACAGAATTCATAAACTCCTATTCCTGCTTTGATTTCATTTCATATGTATATGTCTATATGTATGTTCTTATATATGTTCATACGTAAGAAATGACATCCTGATCATTCATCTATAGGTCATTCATGATGGAAATGATGGAAAATCATTTCTTTATATATTCTTTTTCTTTTATATTTATAAATACATAAATATATGTAACTATATAAAGAAAAGAAATATATAAAGAAATGACTTCCTATTTATCACAAGTACAAACAATTTTAGTAATTTAAGAATTAAATAGCAACAAATGGTTTCTTTTTTTCATATCCCATCTCATATCTGCCGTCAAATCCTCATAATCTCATTATTTCAGTCCTAATCAGCAAAAGTCCATTAAAGGTTACCAGGAATAACGTATCTATTTTACCCTTGATAAAATAAAAACTACTTTTTTATTATTTTAACAAACTTAATCTTTAATCTCTTCAAATATCGTAGAACTTGGATTCTTTTCATTTTTCTTTGTCTCTGCTCACAAAATTCTTCAAAGTAATGTCTCTTTTCTAAATTCAACATAAGAAAATATTTGTCTGTCCCTTACTTGGCCTGTTATTTGTATATCCCTTTTAATAATCAAGACATCAGCTGGTTTCTTTTATATGTCCCATGTAGCATCTTTTTTCGTATCATTCATTATATCATCCTGTCATTTTTAACTAGATTTTCAAATCAATCTCAATTTTGTCAGATATTTTCGTAACACCTTTAAATACACTTTTTCTATAGAGATAGAGAATCCGATAATTAATTTCTGGATCCATTGTTCAGAAATATCCTTCAATATGTCCTATGTTAAAATATTTTGCTTCATTCTTTATTAATAAGTCAAATTTAAATGTTCTTCTTCTTTAATTGAGCTAACTTTAGTTCCTTCTGGTTTTATCTAGTGTCCAACTTTTGAAGTATCATCTTATCACATTTTTAAGAGAATTTTAAAAAATCTTTTAATTAATTCCAAAACATTATTTCAAATCCATCTGGCTCTTACTCTGCTTTTAACTTTTC